AAATTGGCTGGAAACCCTGAGCCACGCACGTGCAGACATTTCTAGTCCCTAGTGAGCCCTGCCAGCATGCGAGCGCCCGGGCCATGAGAGCCCAAACTTGCTGACCTGCAGATTTGGGGGTCGGAGGTGGCTAGTTCCTGCACAGTTAACCCTGAGTTGGCTGGTCTGTTCTTCCCAGCACCTCTTTCCCTTCATAGAGCAAGTCTGCATCCAGAAGAGAGAAATTATTTTTTAAACAAGAACTAAGGAAAAAGTCATTGACACCACCCCAAAACTACAGGAGAGCCCTTGAGTTAGGTTGGGGTATCCAGGTCACCAATTCCCTCCAGCGATTCTGTGGGCTCTCGGCCCAGGTGCAAGATTTCTTACGTGCCTTGGACACCCAAGGGACAGGTTACAAAAGATACAGGGAGGAGACACAGAGAACAAAAGGTGGCAGATCTCAGATAGCCAAGTCTTAACTATTTATTCACAAAGCTCAAACCTACCCTCCCAATTAAAGGAGTTCAAGAACCACAAAAAGCCAAAGGAAAAAACAAAATCTTCTGCTAGTCTGAGCCATATGAAATTGTCAGTATTTGACAGTTGCCAACATGGCAAGCCACGTTTAAACTACCAGGAGACAGGTTACAGACAATCACAGGGCACCCCGATTACCCAGCCCATCAGGCATGGTGGAGACTTGATTCATGAGGTCAAAGGAGCTTTTACATGGTACAAAGGAGCTCTGTTACTCAGAACTGGGTAATCCCTTCCCTAAACTAAAGAAAAAATTCCTCCACTTGACGGTTCCATTTTTAATTAAATACCTGCTTAATTAAGTAGATAGCTGAACCCACTCAAATACAAAACATCGTATTATGGGAACAGAGAAAAACGAGAAGCCCACGTTTTGGGGGGCAAAAGGAAAAAACAGACTCTGTTAGTCGGTACGAATTCCCTGCGCTTCTCCTTCTGAAAGCTTTAAATTCTGCATCCACATCTGGAAAATGCTCCAGTGAGGCCATGATGCTCAATGGGGTCATCCAGTGCCTCTACACCACCCCCACCCCCACCCTGACCCCCACCCCACTCTCACTCTAGACTCCAGGCTCTTTTGTCCAAAGTCAGAAGCTCCAGTCACCAGCTCCTGGCCAAGCCATCTCCAGTCCTGAGAAGCTGCGACCAGGACAAGGTTGCCTCCACCCAGTGGTGCTCCACGTGTGGGCCCCAGACCAGCAGCAGGAGCATCCCTGGGACTAGTCCGAAATGAGAAGTCTTGGACTGTCCTCAGTCTGCAATCTGGCTGTCACTAGGTTATTCTGATGCAAACGAAACTAAATTAAAGAAGTCTGGCCCAAACTAAACTAAACTAAAGTCTGGCTCCTGGCAGGTGTCAGGTCAGTAATTTTCCACCTGTGTTGGTGTGTGTGCTCAGGGTCTAAGGTGACCACTAGTCTGGATTCCTGACTCTGGAAACAGCACAGGAGGTTCCGGATATAACCAGAGCACCCATTTCAGTGACAATGCAACTGGAAGGCTGCATATGGAAAACCATTCTGGCTTAAAAAAAAAAAAAAGAAAAAGAAAAAAGAAGAAAGAAAATATAGGATAAATGAGAATACAAATGGTCTTGGGCAATCTAGTCACTTGTAGAATATTCTAGATCTGAACTCAGGTTTTGGGTCAGCCAAAGGAAAATGGATGCAGGAAGCAAGCATGATGTCCTCAGAAGGGGCACCAAAGTCTCTTTCCTGTCACCTGAGAAATGCCGCAGAAACAGAGATGTGTTCTCTCTTTCTTGAAGACCTCTAGGAATTTAAGGATTCAAAAACTAGCAGGTGACGGGGAAAGATGGACAGAAGCTAGCTGGCTGTTTCCCTCTCAGGTGGCTTATAGCAAAAGCTCCTGCCCCATTTTTTAAATAATAATTAAAAATTAATTAAAAAATTAAAAATTATTTTAAAAAAGGAAACTTCTTTTATTTAAATTTAACTTTTGAATTTAAAGTCCAACATTGCTTCAGCAGGGAGACAAATTTCTCACAAGGGCTATGGCAGCTGGGTTTTCTTCCCTTCTCCTACCTATCCCTGTGTCCTACTCCAAGCTGGAAGGAGGGGTCCTCAGAACAGGTAGGGAGGCAGGGCCACTTCTGAGATTAAGACTATCACCACTGCACCCCAGGATGCCCTTCTTAGCTACTCCAACAGATGGGAGAGTTAAGTCCAGTTGCTGCTTGCTGTTCACAAAGTACACAAATACCGAACCACTGCTCCAAGGTGAAGGACAGGGTAGGTTTCCATGAGCCTCTGGGCATACTTTCAGCAGCCAGTCAATTAAAACCTAACCTTGTGTGTGTGTTCTGTCCAGAAGCATCCTAGTTCACACACACACACAGAGTCTATTCACTAACGCTGAACTCCCCACACGCTGCGCCCCGTGCCAGACGAAGCTTTTCCCCATTGGGCATATAGATGCCTCCTTCACTAGGACAGCCCAGGATCTCGGTGCCTATGGGTCATTTTAAACAGAAAATCACCAACGAAAGCACAAAGAGGTATCAAATATGCCACAAAAAGTACACTTGTCAACAGTATGGGAACCAAAACTTTAAGAAGGCAGAGCGCCACCTTGTTCCACCTTAGCTGAGAATAAGCGTGTAGGGCAAATCCAAGTTTTCACAGCTCTGCACATGACAGGGGATTGAGAAAGAGCCAGGAGTGTTGATCCTGAGGTTATAAGTAAATATCAGTAGTCAAACTCACACTTAAGGAATCTGTGAATAATGAGGGCTGACTGTGTTTTGTGGCCACTTAGAGTGACCAAAGTCAGACTGATCAATCCCTGCTTCTATCAGAACTGCCTCTTTGCCACCAACTCAGCAGAAAGAGCAAGACAGAGGGACTCTGGATGAATACGCACCAGCTCTGGCCAGGGACCCAGGCTCCTCCCCTAGTGGCAGACTCCCCAGTTTCTGGCCCCAGCCTCCTAGTTTGAGTCATGCCTTTGCCTGCCCCAAGCTTTTCCTCTGGTTCACAAAGCCAAGAAGCTGCCAAGTCCTCAGGATGGAGAGCATCTATGCTCTGCCACCAGACCCTGCCTGCATTTTGTGGTCATTGTTGGTCAGGGCCACTGGTGACATAAGTTTGTCTGCCAGGGGAGGGGTTAGGAATTGGGTTGGGTGGCCAAGCCCCACTACTTCAGTCTGGTTCTGTCACCTACCACTGTGTGAGCTCTAGCAAGTTAATGTCTCTGAGCTCAGTCTATATAGTCAGAATGGCGCCCTTACTTTCACGGCTACTATGAGGTCCTATCCAGCCACTCAAGGTGGCATGCTCTGCACAGCCAAGTGTCCAGGCCAAAGGGGCCTGGGACAAAACACAGTCCCAGGATAGGGAGGGGACTTCAGAACTACCATCACATCCCCAGATGGACTTCAGTTCTTCATCTTCTGCTCAGGGTGCTCCCAAACCCCTCAGTGTCCCCAACTATTAAAGGACAGCAATCAGAAGAGGGGAGCTCAGCTCCCTCCTGGAAGGGTGGGATAGTCCCAGGTTCCAGCCAGAGGACGCCAGGCCTTCCTAAAATGCCAGAGGTCTGGGAGTCAACTGGGAACACCACAGGGAGAGGGAGGCAGAAAAGAGGGAAGCAGAAGGGGAACTCAACTTCCCATTGGCACCTTCGGAACACTGAGTGCTGTGGACCTTTAAAAAGTCAAGTCCATACATGAGTAAGAACTCTGGCTGACTCCCACCATGAGAGGACTTTAATCCCATGCCCCATGCCTTGGGGTCTCTGTTTCTGCCTGCAGCTTCCTGACTCTCTAGCATCCTCTATACTTCTCCATCAGAACCCCCCTGGTGGATGAAGGGGCCTCCATGCTGTCACCCATCACACCCTGAAACAGGAGGCAAGGGAAGGGTCAGCTCACACATGCCCCAGGCAGGCCACTGTGGAGGCCTCCCTGCCCTCTCCTCTTATCCAGTTCAAGTCACATCTCCCTCATCCATGCCAGGCTGGGTACTACAGTTTCACAGGTCATGGTGACCAGTTTCTTTCCTCTAAGACGGTGGACACAGGTAATTTACAGGTGTCTGGGAGGAGCAGTGACACAGGGGCTCAGGCAGCCACAGAGTTCAGAGCACTGCTCCTCTCAGCTTGGGAGGAAGGCTGCCTGAGGAGGTGATGCTGGGCCATCTTCCAGGAGAGAAAGGACTACCTTTGTCCTGTTCACCAGGGCTTCCCCAGCGCCATGAAGGATCTGGACAAACAGCTGCCTACTGACATGTGTGTGTACACATGCATGTGTGCTGTGAGTGTATATATGGAGACAGATGCAGAGCATGTGTGGACAGACACAAGTACATGAGCTGAGTCCTAAGGCTAATGCTGAGCAAGTCTGAACCAGGTGCATGGCTACAGGTTTAGGCAAGGCTGAACCCAGGCCAAACACAGAGTAGACAGAGCTAGGATCAGCATGGGGCCACTGGGGTGTAAAAGGCAAGGAGAAGGAAGGCTGGTAGGAAGTGACAAGGCAGAGGACAGGGCCAGGATCCCAAGCTCTTGTGCCAAACAAAGGTGCTGAGGCCTGGTTCCTCTCCCTGGGAGTTGTTGACTCTTCTTTCCTTTGACCATCACCAAAAGACAAAAGAAAACAAGCAGCTGACCCAGCTCCAGTCCCAGGAGGCCAGCACAAAACTACCTACACCACACTCTGAAACAGGAGAAGGCAGCTCTCTCTCTCTCTCTGGACTACTTTTGTTTAAATGGGGACACTTGACAGCCATAAAGGGAAAAAAAATCTGTAAATAGAGGTGTGTGTGTGTATAGAAGGGGGTTCCCTAGTGTCCCCTTAGATTACTCCTAAGGCCACAAGAAGAGGCAGAGCCCTGCCACGCACCTGTTGAAGACAGGCGTGCACACTCCCAAGTGGGGAGTGGAATGCTAGATGAGAAGAAGGAATAGTCTCAGAGTCTGTACCCTGGATCCCATCAGCAGTTCTAGCCTTAACCCCACCCTACCTCTGAGCTGTCAGGTCTGTAGGGACCTGGCTGGCGGTGTCACCTTGGTGGGAAGCGGCAGCTAAGGGTGGGTTTCCCAGGTCTGTGGAGTCCTCACACTGGATGATGTCATGGGCTACTGGTAAGCTGGGAGAGAAAAGGAAAAAGCCAACATTCAGAAACCATCCTAAAAGTTGCCAATTTGCTTTTAATAGCACATTTTATCTGGCCCAAGCAGGGAGCGGGGCCTGCTTCCCTTCCTGTGAAGGAAGGGTCTGTGCTGGTTCCCATCATGGGGCTGGTCCAGGAGAGGTCTGTCACTGGTCCATGACATGTTAAGTGCAGAAGTCTGGAGGTAGGGTTTAGAATCCTTGACGGCAGTTTGAGGGGAATTTTATGTCTGTTGAATCTAAAAACAAGAGTCAGGCTTCTGTTTTGCATGTATTGATTATGTCTCTCAACCAGGGGAGGTGACATTTGCCGCCCCCATCCTTTCACCCCACCCCCCAGGGACACCTCAATGTTTGGAGACATTTTTGGCTGTCACAGTTGGGGTTGGGGTAGAGGCTACCAGCTGCAGTGTGCAGGACAGTCCCTACAACAAAGAATAATCTAACCCCAAGTAATTCATTTCATTGTATTTTCTAAGTTTGGATCTATGTGAATTAGATATTAAACGTCACTGGCCCTTCATTGATTTAAAGACTGGACAACCTTAAGAGGAGGCTGGCTTCAGAAGTCCGGAGACACCCGGCTGACCCCGGGGACCATCTCACCCTCAGCTATCAGGGAGATCCGTGTGCAACCTTCTCCTGATAAAGACACTGACTATGCTGCCCACAGCCATATGCAACAAGACCAGTCTCTTCCTTCCTTGAGCAGGTATGTACTGAATCCCTGCCCTGTGCTGTGAGCAAGAGCTGTGTCCTCATTGGAGCTATAGTCTTGGTCAGAGGCAGACATTTTTAAATGCCTATTTATCTAATAACAGTGGTAGCAACTGCTAAGAAGGAAGGGACAGATGGCCATAAGAGCATGAACTAGGAGTTCCTGGCCCTAAATTGGGATCAGAGAAAACTCCCTTGGGAGTGATGAGTAGGCCACCTCCAGGACAGTGAGTGTTTACTGATGCTCACTGTGTGCCAGGAGCTCTTCTAAGAGCTTATAGACATTACCATATTTAGTCATCAAACAATCCCACAATAGGGTGGGGAAGGGGGTACCATTATTATCCCCACTAAGGCACACAGAGGATGAGTAACTTGTACAAGGCTGCACAACTGCGAAGTGGCAGAACCAGGGTACAAACCCAAGGCTGACCTCAGGAGCCACACTTCACCACTACACCTGGCTGTGTCCCAAAAGTGGAAAAGTAAGACCAGGTAAGGGCACATCAGTGCAGGGAGCTATGTACTATATTTGAAAGCCAAGATCAGAAAGGAGTTTTGCATCCTTCAGGAACACCAAAATGTCACTGCAATTAGATGCAAATAAAGGAGGGAGATTAGGAAGAGGAGGGAGGACAGGAGCCAGATCAGAAGGCCGAGTGGAGGAGCTGGGACTCGGCCCTAAGCCAAGGGCTCAAAACTTCTACTGAAAGCTGAGTTGCTCAGTCACAAATCTCTGCTCTTGACATGGAGATGAATGCCTGAAGAGGTCCAGGGCAATCTCCCAAGGCTATACCCTGAATACGACTGCACTGGCCCACATGTGGCTATACACTTCTGTTCATGCCACACACCTGCAAGTCAGGAGGTAGAAGTAAAAGGACCAAGAGTTCAAGGCCAGCCCGGGCTACATAGCAAGACCCTATAACTCAAAAGAACAACAACAACAACAAAAAAAAGACAAGAAAAAGAAAAACCTAAGGCATAGCCATAACAGACTTTTTTGCAACAATTTTTTTGTTTTGTTTTTGATTTTTTGGCAGTACTGGGATTTAAACTCAGGGCTTTGCTCTTGCTAGGCAGGTGCTCTTACCGCTTGAGCCACACCTCCACCCCAGTTTGCTTTTAAGGTAGATATTTACGCACTTAGACGTAAACATGTCTATTATTAACTGAAGACAGGGTAAAAGGCATTGGCAGCATGATCTGACTTTGTCTGTGTGCAGTGATGTGTATGTTTCTATAAATACAAAGAAAGCAGGCGACAGATTAAATGAGCCAGTGAGCAACACAGGCTCTGTGCCAAGGTTAATAATCTTTTAGAAGAGAAATGGTGAATGTCTTTTCTTTTTCGTGAACTTTAATCTCTATTTTCTAGATCTCTGATGAAGACCTGCAACTTGTATAATCAAAAAACACAAGAAAAAGGATTTAAGAAAATCTGTGTCAGGGAACAACCTCAATTCATACCTCAGTGAAATTTTACAAGTGAGGGACAATCAGAACAAGGTCGCCTTCCCCCACCTCTGCAGTCAAGTTGTCCCCTGTGAGGACCTACACTTGCCAGCCTCGTTCCAAGGCAGAAATGCATCCACAATCATTCCTGAAGCATCTCAGGAGAAAATAAAGGTCCCAAAGCAGAACCTATCCAAAAACAGCTATCCGCCTGCAGCTCGTATGGAGTAGTATTTTTATTAACCCCTTGGGATGGGATTATTTTTAAAAGCATATTGGACACTTCCTTGAGTTTTTTTGAACGGAGAAACTCAAACATAACTAAATAGTTTCTCGATGACATTTGGTCAGCTTTCTGACCAAGTGTGATGTGAGCAAGGAAGTACACTATGGTACTAAAAAGCGATTGTATATGAAACCAGTAGGGCTGAACTCCAGACCAGCCCCACCTTGGGATCTCCGCCAGGTGACTGCTCAGGGCTTTACCTTCTCCATCTGCAGAAGAGAAGGCACTGGGCTACACATCAGCAAGAACTCCTTAATTCAGCCTTGCTCTGCATGCTTAGGCTGTCAGCTATCCCACCTCCCTCTCCCTGCTGCTTATCTCAGGCTGACATTTTACAGACTGAGAGACACAGCAGAGGATGTTAGAACAGTGTGTAAATCAAGACTTAATAAGCTTTAAGTCAATACCTATCAACCCCTATAACAAAATAATCATAATTTTTAAAGTGCATGTATGTGTGTGTCCAAATACAGTAAGACGAACCACAGGCAAGTAAGTGCTAACTATTGCCATTGTACCATCAGCTCTGGGACTTTTATTTCCCAGCAATCCAGTCATGTTTCAGATGGCTAAGGAGAGGGAGAGTCTCATAAAACAACTCTTCTCAGACCAACTGTCAGAGGTTATAAAAGGCTTCGAAATACTACAAGCAGTGCCACTGGGTGTTGAGTGACTGACTTATTTTTCAGAGGGAGGAAAACTTCAGCCAGCGCTTTCAACTCCCAGCTGCTGGGCCAGCCTACTGTAAACTCAGCCAGGCAGCAAAGGGTTGACTGGCCATGGAACGTAAGGGAAAGCTTATACCTACAAGTGTCTCTGCATGGACCATGAGTCACCGCCTCAGAGACAAGGTGAGAGGGGTCTGCCTCAGAGAGGAAGATGCTCACAGTCTTGTCTAAAAGGCACCAGCCCCGCAGGCACCAGCATGAATTACACAGGACCGCGCACTGCAGGGCTGGCGGCTAATCAAGAACAAGGCAAGTTCAAAGTCTAAAGCCAGAACTGTGAATGGAGGTATCTTGGTGTGTGTCAGGGCACTATGACAAATTCCCAGAGACTGGGTGACCTAGAACAGACAGCCATTTCTCACAGCCCTGGAGGCTGAGAAGTGTAAGATCAAGGGCCAGCAGATGCAGTGTCTGGCGGCACCCTCACTGTGTCCTCAGTGGTGGAGAACTCTCAGGCTGGTTTCCTAGGCACTAACCCCATTCCTGAGAGCTCTACCCTCAGCTCCTTTGATTACCTTCCAAAGATCCCACCTCCTAACACACCAACACTCAGACCATAGAAGATAGACCCAGAGTGATCTGTAAAGGTTGTGAAGGTTCTGCAAGTGACTGAAGAAGACAAAGGGAAGCAAAGGCTGGTGTGCACAGAGGGCCTTCAAATGAAAGTCTCTCCGGCTGGGGACACAGCTCAGTGGTAAAGTACTTGCCTAGCATGTGTGAGCCCTGGGTTCGAACCCCAGCATGGGGTTATGGTGGAAAGGAAGGAGCGATGGCATGGAGGAGACCAGTGTCCTACATGGAAAGGAACCAAAAAAAACCCCACAAAACAAGTCTCATATACAAAACATGTTTGTATATATGTATACATATATATGTATATATAAAATAACCACACCAAGGATAACAGGAACCAGGTTCTCACAGCCAGGGAAAGATGTGCATGTACAAAAAGAAGCAGGTGAAAGGAACCTCCAGGGCTGGGCTGCAATCAGAGGTATCAGAGAAACACAGGATAGATGGGTAGGATGCACACATGCATAGTACACAACACAGAGCTAGCTCCCGGCTCTGCCTCCTGAGAAGGGTCATGTTAAAAGAAACACATCAAAGGCAAAGGGGCTGCCACTGACCAAAGCTGAGACTATTTGGGCCTCAGGGAAAAAAAACTACAGACAGTAATGGATTATAAGCCATTGAATAAAGTAACGATCCACGAGTCCTTACAGATAGAAGGGAAAACTCCCCTTATAGTACAGTGCCAACTAGTGCATGCAGGAGGAACAAAGACAAGATTGTCATCACTGCTGGGCATTGGTAGCTCACAGTTATAATACTAGCTACTTGAAAGGCTGACATTGGGAGGACTGGAGTTTGAGGCCAGCTCAGGCAAATAGTACACGAAATCCCCATCTCCAAAGTAACCAGAGCAAAATGGACTGAAGGTATGGCTCAAGCAATAGAGTCCCACTTTGGAAGCTCAAAGCCCTGAGTTCAAACTCTAGTCCCACCAAAAAAAAAAAAAAAAGCCACCACTGAGGAACCACCACAGAGGAGGTGAGCACGGGCAACAGCCATCAGAAGATGCTAAGGCAGCAGGTGCAGTGGCTCTTGCTCTAATCCCAGTTAACTATTCAGGAGGCAGAGATCTGGAGGCTCAGGGTTTGAGGCCAACCAGGGAAAAAAATCAATAAGACTGAATATCAATTAACAAACTGGGAATGGTGGTATGTGCCTGTGGTCCCATCTATGCAGGAGATTGTACGTAGGAGAATTGAGGTTGGAGGCCAGCCT